TTAATGTTTGGAAATGTAAACTGATATTTCCTACTGACACACTACAGCAAACGATAGAAATAACTGACTTAAACACATTTTTATCTGCTGGAAATACTAGTGTTCTGATGATTTTGGCAATCAATAACACCTGCTAAATAAACAACAAGCCCATGTTCCTCTGCCGGAGCATGACTGAAAGCACAGATCTGGTCAGACTCGCTAATGCAGTGAATGTAACTCATCACCTGCGTTAAAGCCGTCACTCGGTTCTCGTTGGGGAAAAGCGGAGGGTCGTCGCCGACTTGGAAGTCGAAGTACACGGTCTTGTGCGTGAAGGTGGAGAACTCGTTGCTGAAGCAGAACTTGAACGTGCCGTTTCTGGAGGCGGTGAAGGTGAAGCTGTCGTACTGCTTCTTCATCTCTTTATAGAGGACCGTCCCATCCGGATCCTCCAGACGACAGTCCACGTCATAGTGACCGCCGGTGACCACCTGAGGAGAGAGACGCAGCCCACGCGTCAAACCACAGAAAGCAGATGTATATCTATTGAAGAGAACATAATACATCAATATGACATCTAAATATAAATGTCTAGGGAGCACAGAATGAGTTGTATTAGCAACAGTCCAACAAAAATGAAATAAAAATTGAAAACAGCTTAACTAGAATACGGAAAGAACTGTTATCTTCTGATCACCCTGCAAAAAACTTGATGCTCTTCCTCTGTATTGTTGTCCAGTGCAAATATCTAAAGATTCTCGAATTAGGATACACTGAGAAGCAAAATGACAGAAGACTACAAGTTTACTATGAAACTGATAGAAATGAAGTGACTTTATGATCAAAACAAGAACAAATATCTGCCACCAGAAAAATCTTCATTCAAAGGAAAAACTATTTACATTCCTCATTGGCAGATATTTGTTCTTGTTTTAATCATAAATTCACTTCATTTTGATCAATATCTCGGAAAACTTCATATCTTCAGTTTGCATCTTCAGTAAATGTATCTTGATTTAAGGATGTTTCGATATTTGAACTGGAAAACAAGAGGA